TTTATCCACCTTCCGATCCAGGATGATGAGTGTACCATCAGTATAAGGGAGTCACAAATCCATTTCCCTTAGTGACATATTTAAGTGCTACATTCTTTGGTTCTACTTTAAATATATCAGCTTAAATAGGGCTAAGTGGCGAATCCATAGCTATCCAATCAATCTGTCTGTAGTGTTTGCTACTGAAGACAAAATGTACATTCATAGTGTATCTAAGAAGCAACTTCTTGACGATATTCACTGGAAACCAGAAATAACTCGCTCTACTGATATTCGTTGATACGTAAACTCTGCTGCCTCCAATAATCTCAAATAAGTGAGTAGTAGTGAGACATCGAGTGATATCAGATGTTTCTCATTCACTTTCACATTATCTAGCTTGAAAATGAAATTGGAGATACCTTTTACATTTCTGCTTACTAATTATTTGTGAAGAGGATCTACATTTTTTCCTAACTACTGACAACATTATTATTAATATCACCATAGTCATTTCACGACACGACCGACAGATGTACATAATCAGTTTAATTTTTATTTACATTTAACTGTTTATATAAGAGTTAAATCGAAGAGGATCTAAATGAAAATGATATCGTTCGCTTATATATCTCTGTCTGATATCCAAATCCGTAACCTTACATTACTTTTATCGGACTAGTTCTCTAACTTATTGCACCTTATCTTGTCTTCCATAATCTTCTTCTAACTGTCTCTAGATGGAACCACATCAAATTTATCCACTAATTTGCTTGTCTTACTTTTCTGACCATTAGTCACCTGGGTTTCCAGTCGATTGGATGATCCATAGCATGCTATTTTTGGTCACCCTTTTGCACTTTACGATTCTTCTCACTGTTAAAATAGAAATAAATGGGGTAAATAATTCATTATTGGTGTTACCTACTCAATAACCTATTAGTACTAAGGAAATTATCACTGTGCAGATTTTGTCAAACGAAAAACTTGTTTCATATTTCAGCAGAAGTGAAAATGGCAAGTGATTGTTCGATTTTATGGTTGCGAAATTTTAAACACACAAAAGTGGTTTTCACTTCTGAATAGCTAAGGAGCCCAAAACGTGCTCTTCACTTCAGCCTGAAGGAAGATGTCTTCAACAGTCTTCTGTACAAAGATAACTCGCATAGAGCAATTCGGAAGCTCAGAATTATTGCTGCCATTAGAAGGAATTAATGTGAGGTCAGGGTCAGAGTAATAGGAGCCAACAAAAGTATTTACTCTCCCAAACCGTAAAAGCATGCGAAAGACAACGTCACTTCCAAATGCATCTGCTAATTCAAATGTACATGTAGTGGTACATACATGGGGAACACTAATAGATCCATGCGAACCATGGCCTTTTGACATAGTCCAAAACGGCTTCAAAATCAAATTGTAACATCTGAAAAGAGTAAACGTTGATAGCAGACACCCAAGTTCTTCGGTAGCAAAACATATAATTGATGCAGGCCACAGGACTGACATCTTTACATCCTTCAGACTTATTTACATAGGACATAGCGGACAGATCCTTAAATTTATTGAAGCATTAGCTAATAGGATGTTCAAAAACAACTTTTCATAGCGTGAAATCTCCCTTGTTGAATTCAACTATGAAACTAAGTTCGATGCAGAACTATTTTCTTCTTATTGATTTTCACCGTTACTCGGACTTTAATTTGACTATTCTACCTGACCTTTTTTTACATTCACACACTTCGTATTTTATAAATTTCTGTGTCAATACACATAGCAGGTACCTGTGGGATCAGACTGTTTCGATAGTATTGTGAAAATACTTTACAATTTCCAGGCCATTACCGTCTCCTTATTGACTTGACAAAGATTATAAAGAAAAATATTTCCTTCAAATTTTTGATTATCATTTGACTATAAAGGCAGTTTGGCAGACAAGTATTTATACTGAGTGGCGATTAAAGGTGAGATGACAATCTGGGCAAAAACTACTCTGAGTGGACACACGTGAGGCACGATTCTGCATCAGTTCCAGCAAACCCTTCCGTTCCCATTAATTAGGAGTTCCACAAGGTAGCCCTTCTACCAATCGAAAAGTACTCTTCCTTCCTTCCTTCTTTCAATCCTTCCTTCCTTCACTGCAAACCTTCTCCTACTGTGATGCGAACATGTTCGCTGTTGTCTCTGGGTCTGTTTTCAATGCCTCTCGTGGAATTGAATCTTTCGCTGACTCTCTCTCAGATTTCAGCAGTTTTACTCCATTCAGGACTTCTACTGTTGTCCAGGAGTTTGTGTTCACTGATATTTCCGTGATTGTGATGCTGGTGGAATTTCAGGACAAGGTGCAGGCAGCAGTGGTCGTAGTAGTGGTCGATTCAAGAGTCTTTTGAAGTGGTCGGAACATCGTTCTCCTTCTCTCTCGTCTCCGGTGGCAGCAAAGTTCCATTCAATACAACTCATTGGTTTCATATGTGTTGATCTCTTCCAGGAAGATAGCAACCTGGTGATTCGATATGATGTTGTCAGGTCTCCGTCTCTCCAATGTGCAACTTGTTCTGCTTCACTTCCAGGTGTGTCGTGGAAGTGTCTTTTGTTTATGCACACACTCTCCATCACTTAGTTGTCAAGTGTAGTGTTTTATAGATTGTGTTCAATCTCTCTATTCGTTGTGCTCACATGCATTGCATTGCACTGCACTGCTACGATACATCTACTACCTCAACACCTTCCTCCCACCTCTCTAGCAGCTTCCATCTCTCCATGCAGATCCATTCATTATCTCGCTTCTTCTTCCCTCACAACACGGTTATGCAGATCTCCTTCCATATCTCCTCTAAACAGCTCAACTATTCTTCCACGCAGAACTCCCCAACGATGCTGTTCAATGTCTCACATTTCCTGCTGATGACTGACTGACGTGAAGATGTCATTCATAGTTTCGTCCTTCAGCATCTGTTCCGGGTGCATGTTGAATTCCAACTGTGGTCTGTCATCATCAGCTTCCTTAGATTGAAGGCTTTCAACGCGATTTTGAAGCTTCTTCGCACTAGACAGTCTGATGATCTGAAACTACATCTGCTACCCTTCATGATCTTGTGTCCAGTAGGCTACATCTCCACTCTCTTCACATTCACATGAAGTCGATTTGATTGTTAGTGTACTCCGTCCATCTGGTGAAGTTGAATCCGCCCCACTTTGTGAGTATCCTTGTGTTTGAAGACACTCTCTCCAACCACCAAATCGTCGAATGCGCAGAAGTCTGCAAGCAGTCCTCCATTCTCACTCATCATCTCACCGAGTGCCTCTCAACACATGATGAGTTGTCTTCATGAGTTTTCTCCTCCCAGTTTGCCACTCATGTCACCACACTCAACCATTAGAATTTTGATGTCCTCACTCAGAATGGCGCGTTGAACATTACTGTTCGCAAATGTTTGTACAACTCCCTCTTCTTCTCTCCATCTCTATTATTTGTAGGTGCACTGAGTGGCGTAGCATTCATTGTGTGACTGTAACTTGCCTTCCCTCCCCATTTGAATCTTGTTGTCATGATCCCGATTGTTGAGGAGATTGGCTACCACTGCGTGAGAGTGAGCCTTTGACGCTGTTGCAGACATCATGGTCACCACTCGAAAACCCAGTGTGCTGTGTTCATGGATGTCGTTTGAGTGACAATATCGGAGTAGATTCGATTATTAATTTTGTCCAGAGTCCACTCCCATTCAGTCTGCAGATTCCTCGTAGATTTTTAACACGCCTATGCTATACCTTCTCACCTCCTTTGCAATCTGGCCAGCCTTGCCAGCCAGTCAGCCAGCCAGATTCAAACATTGTGCTGACGTTCCATGCCCCCATGTTTACGTTTGGGTTCTTCGAGAGAGAGAAGACATATCGGCCAATTGGCTTCTCAAAGGCTTTCACCAATCGGCATCATTTCGTCTCTCTGATTGTGGAGAGGAATAAGTTTATTTATGTTTATAATAAATGATTTGTGCTTTGAAGTTTCCTTAGCGATTGGATTTGTTTTTCTGGGTATGGTTGCTAGCCGTATGCTCAACCTTCCTTCTTGATCCGGTTTTAGAACCCGCTAGTAGACTGATGATCTACTTGTCTAGGTTTGGTTTTGAACGAAGTAGATGAACAAGAACTATAAATGCAGGATATAAACTTTATGGAGTTACCGCTGGTGTGACTGCGAACAATAATTTATTTCCAAAATATCACAAAGTGAGCAGTACTTGTTTACTGCCTGAGCTGTCGTAAAAAGAAGCTAAAATGGAGGTGTGTGCTCCCACATTTTCTGAGTTCGACTTCTTCCTTAGCTGGATTGCACAGTTACGACATTCAGTTACTTTAGTGGTTGAATATTCTCCTCTCACTGAATACATATTGTAGTAGTATTTCGCCCGATTCTGTTAACAGAATTAATGAACTTTCAGGTGGTTAAACTGCAAGTCGTCGAGAAATTTGTTTACTTAGTATTTCGAACCAATTGTATAACTTTGGTTTAATGGGTTCTGCTGTTCTTATCTTGTTGAAAATCAGTGGTGATATAACTAGGTTTGCATGAAATTCCTCAGCATATTTGCCTGATTGTTTTTGAGGACTCATCCATTACCAGTGAGTATCTTTTGGCCCTCTCGATACAAATTTCTTTTTCTGAAAATAGAGAAGTTTTCTCTTGATGGGATGCTATTACACATCTTATTGTGAGCGTTGGCGTACTACTTTACATTTTTTTGATTTTACTCAGAGTTTAAGTTTACTGGACTAGTTATTTCTCGTGTAGCTGTTTCCTAGTTATCCCCAAGATTATCATGAATGAATCCAGTTACATTTTTCTTCTTGACTCTCAAGCTGATTTAATTCCATCTATTTTAAAATAGTTTGTGCTGGTTTAGACGATTCTTATTCTGAAACTCTCCGTCATTTATAATAAAGATATGATACATATCAAACCGTGGATACTGACTGTCACAATTCAAAGTATTTATGCAAAAAAGCCTGATGATTTATACAAAATCGCAGTTTATTAACAAATTATTTCATTGAAGTTCTTACATTTATTAAAAATATAAGCCTCCTACAAATCAATTTGCTAACGTAAGGAGTTACAAACTGCTCACTAATTTAACAAGTACTTTTGTTATACATTGATGAGTTCGGGAACATGGCTTGCCTCCACAGCTGTCCATTAAAGAAGCATGATTCAAACCACTCGTATAGAAATACGCTGAAAATGTGGAAAGTAACTGAATGCTGGCAAAACTTTGTTAGCAGAACTGATAAATATAAAAGACATTTAATCTTATCAAATATGTCTATAGATACCAGTACGATTTTATTGAGGAAAATTTAATACCTCTACGAAGCTTGTCATAAAAGAGTATTTGCATTGATTCATATCTCTGAGATTATCGAATGCTTTAGTTTAGTTTCGTTGCACCATACGAGTGCACACATTAGGCCACTCATTCCTACTACGGGAGAAAACCTTAGAGTCCTGGTTATCTACTTATTACTCCTCAGCCGGGATGGCATCGAGTGTCTGACCTGGGTTATCCCGAAAATGCCAGTTATACCTCCTACTTGCCATTCAGTTAGTATTATCACTTCTCCTATAGCGGTTAGATGGCGGCACCCAAGTATTTCAGCCCTTGTTGCCTGTGACGTCAGCAGACAATCTGTTTTCAATCCTGATCAAAAGTAGTGTCGTTCGCAAACTATTCATCCATTACTAAAATTTGTCAGAGATATTATTGTATGCCATTTTACTGGTCAGTTACTAACCCTGGTTGAAGATAGTGTAAGTGATAGTTTGTTATTTCATTGCTAACTTCGGCTTATGGCTTTGTTATGGACACGATAATCAGCCAGGGCTTAAGAAGACAGTTGTTCAAAGTTATCCTAACTGGTTATTCAAGCAAGGAAATGGATATATATATAAACAGTTATATTTTCAGCTATTTTTCGCCACATTTCGGAGCAATTAACCTCATCTTCTCGGTCTTTCCTTCAGTGTCTCTCAGTAGTATGGGGGACAATGTTCTAGTGATCAGAATGCATTTTCATATGTCAACGTGCTGTAGGCGCATATCAATTTACTGACACTGTTAGGCATTTCTGAGTTATTTTAACGTCTTTTATAACATCTTCTTTGGACATGGACATTTTGCTGCCAATAACTTAAGTAGCCATTCCTTGATACATGATGCTGAGTGGAAGTTATACTTATGTCATATCAAAGTAGTTTTAAAAAGATGCTTATTTACTTGTGATAAATGTCAGCGAGGACCATTTAATATATTCTGATATCGTTTCTTAATCATGGCTTTAAATGTCTTTATGCTTTGTAATTGTTTAGTACTGCTCAAAAATTTTCTTATTTTCCAATGGTCAATATTCAACAGTCTATGTCATCTTGTACAAGAAGTTTCAGTTTTGATAATATTAAAGCAGATTACTTTTTTAGTGATAAATTTCATGTTGCACTGGAAAATACCGGTTGCATTGCATTTATGTTAAAACCATGAGCAAAACTCTACAGTGAAGTTCGCTATTACAAGAATTCTTTAAGGACATTTAATGCTGTTGACTTGTAATTTAAAATGAAAACAGATTAAACGGAGTCAGAGACACTTTTCTTTATTTGCTGGATTAATGGTCCATAATTCAATTTTTTTTTGGAGCTGCAACTTAACCTGAAGACTAGTCTGGCTAATACAATTTCAAATTCTTTAAAAACTAGCCAAACAAAAGATTATACCTCCCTGTTTCATAAATCTGGTCACAAGTTAGTTATATTCTCTTGAAATAGGATGAAAAGTAGTTCAATAATATGAATAGATATATTGAAGCTGCAGATCTTATATGATTACTGAGATAAGGTAAAAAAATATACTGCTGACTGACAGCGGTAATTGTGAACCACTAACACTGATCAGCGTTAGCTTGATTAAAACAATCTTAACATCAAACGAATGTTTCGCCACCTTGGGATTGAGTCTATCAGTGATTTACTAATAAGCGTTTAACTTAGAAAGCTATTTCAGTGAGCCAGGTATGCCGATTATCAAGTCAAAAGTTTGTGAAAAAAATTTGTATTTGAATAAACTGAAATCAAAACTCACAACAAATCGAACCAAAATTTTCTTTTGATGGAAAAAAATATTTATTCACTCCGAAAAATGGGAATACATACAAATAAAGTATGCCTACTTCACTCTTATCTCAGTTTCTTAGGTTCCATGATAGTTACTGGGAAAAAAATATTCTGCATTATAACTTGGTTTTCATCTTAGATATCTAGGAAAGTAGATAATATAGGTTTACCCATGATTCCATTTCATTAGATGATAACACGAACAAGTTAAATCTCAACTATCTACACAGTGAGCTAATGCAGATGACACTTTCACTTAAAGCTGACTTAGAAAGAGCTTTCGAGAACAGAATATTTGAATATGTTCATCGTAGTTAGGATATGTAAAGAACTTTGTCTTCTATTCAGATTAAATTTCAGTACTTGCTGAGTGAAATATTGAAAAACATTGGCCTATAATACAACTCGTTGTAAATGTATTTGATACAAAGAGAATTTGTGAAAAATTGATTTTCAATCTTCATATGAGTTTACATATGACAAGCTTCTTTCGTTTCATTAAAAAAGAGACAAAAATAGTATTTTATTTCGTGAATGATTTAAATATTGTGGATGAAGGACCATCATAACATATCCTTCATCAAAGACGAAACCAGTGACGAATACAGTTGATTCAGAATTGTCTTAGTTTGAAAAAGGGTAAACCTCTCTCGAAAAAATATGAAACCTACACATTTTATTATCCCACTTAAATGGCCGAATTCACTTTACAAATCAATTTTATCACCAAAGTTTTAATAAGATAGTATATACTGACTATACAACTACTTTCTAATTGACAGTATTAAGAAACTTTTAATGTTGACCACCATTACTGCTAATGACAACACAAAATTGTGTGACAAAAATGTATCTGTCAAGCATGTGGCAAGAAAACAGCAGTCTACCGAACACAATTCTTAGAAATGGTTGAAGACGATTTAGAAATGCAAAGATGAACTGAATAATCTCCTTTCTTTTTAGTGCTAGCGACATTTAGTAAAGTAAGTGAAAGAAATAGAGTGAAGGAAAATCAACTTACTCGTTGCTTACGTTTTTGTAACTGAGTAAATTCAAACAGTTTGATGAATGAATTCGTGATGGATAATATTCCGTAAACCTCAGATTTATATTCTCAACAACACTCATCATGATTATTACAAAGATAAAGAGGTAAATAAAACGATTCATATACACAATCTCAATGACACAGCAAAATGAGATGATTGGATTTAGTAGAATTTAGTTATTTCAGACTACCGCAAATAACTACCCAAGTGAATGCCGCATATTATACAAATTAAAATACTTCAAAACAAACGTCGCATAGATAACCGATTCACTAGCAACTAGCAGGTCCTAAAACCGGATCAAGAAGGAAGGCTGACCATACAGCTAGCAACCATACCCAGAAAAACAAATCCAATCGCTAAGGAAACTTCAAAGCACAAATCATTTATTATAAACATAAATAAACTTATTCCTCTCCACAATCAGAGAGACGAAATGATGCCGATTGGTGAAAGCCTTTGAGAAGCCAATTGGCCGATATGTCTTCTCTCTCTCGAAGAACCCAAACGTAAACATGGGGGCATGGAACGTCAGCACAATGTTTGAATCTGGCTGGCTGACTGGCTGGCAAGGCTGGCCAGATTGCAAAGGAGGTGAGAAGGTATAGCATAGGCGTGTTAAAAATCTACGAGGAATCTGCAGACTGAATGGGAGTGGACTCTGGACAAAATTGTCAACTGGAGAGGAGTTAATAATCGAATCTACTCCGATATTGTCACTCAAACGACATCCATGAACACAGCACACTGGGTTTTCGAGTGGTGACCATGATGTCTGCAACAGCGTCAAAGGCTCACTCTCACGCAGTGGTAGCCAATCTCCTCAACAATCGGGATCATGACAACAAGATTCAAATGGGGAGGGAAGGCAAGTTACAGTCACACAATGAATGCTACGCCACTCAGTGCACCTACAAATAATAGAGATGGAGAGAAGAAGAGGGAGTTGTACAAACATTTGCGAACAGTAATGTTCAACGCGCCATTCTGAGTGAGGACATCAAAATTCTAATGGTTGAGTGTGGTGACATGAGTGGCAAACTGGGAGGAGAAAACTCATGAAGACAACTCATCATGTGTTGAGAGGCACTCGGTGAGATGATGAGTGAGAATGGAGGACTGCTTGCAGACTTCTGCGCATTCGACGATTTGGTGGTTGGAGAGAGTGTCTTCAAACACAAGGATACTCACAAAGTGGGGCGGATTCAACTTCACCAGATGGACGGAGTACACTAACAATCAAATCGACTTCATGTGAATGTGAAGAGAGTGGAGATGTAGCCTACTGGACACAAGATCATGAAGGGTAGCAGATGTAGTTTCAGATCATCAGACTGTCTAGTGCGAAGAAGCTTCAAAATCGCGTTGAAAGCCTTCAATCTAAGGAAGCTGATGATGACAGACCACAGTTGGAATTCAACATGCACCCGGAACAGATGCTGAAGGACGAAACTATGAATGACATCTTCACGTCAGTCAGTCATCAGCAGGAAATGTGAGACATTGAACAGCATCGTTGGGGAGTTCTGCGTGGAAGAATAGTTGAGCTGTTTAGAGGAGATATGGAAGGAGATCTGCATAACCGTGTTGTGAGGGAAGAAGAAGCGAGATAATGAATGGATCTGCATGGAGAGATGGAAGCTGCTAGAGAGGTGGGAGGAAGGTGTTGAGGTAGTAGATGTATCGTAGCAGTGCAGTGCAATGCAATGCATGTGAGCACAACGAATAGAGAGATTGAACACAATCTATAAAACACTACACTTGACAACTAAGTGATGGAGAGTGTGTGCATAAACAAAAGACACTTCCACGACACACCTGGAAGTGAAGCAGAACAAGTTGCACATTGGAGAGACGGAGACCTGACAACATCATATCGAATCACCAGGTTGCTATCTTCCTGGAAGAGATCAACACATATGAAACCAATGAGTTGTATTGAATGGAACTTTGCTGCCACCGGAGACGAGAGAGAAGGAGAACGATGTTCCGACCACTTCAAAAGACTCTTGAATCGACCACTACTACGACCACTGCTGCCTGCACCTTGTCCTGAAATTCCACCAGCATCACAATCACGGAAATATCAGTGAACACAAACTCCTGGACAACAGTAGAAGTCCTGAATGGAGTAAAACTGCTGAAATCTGAGAGAGAGTCAGCGAAAGATTCAATTCCACGAGAGGCATTGAAAACAGACCCAGAGACAACAGCGAACATGTTCGCATCACAGTAGGAGAAGGTTTGCAGTGAAGGAAGGAAGGAAGGAAGGAAGGGTACCTACTGATTAGTAGATGGGGTACCTTGTCACACTCTTAAGGAAGGGGAACCTTAGTGTTTGCTGGAATTGATGTAGAATTATGCTTCACCTGTGTCCACATAAAGCAAAATATTAGGCTGCATCATCCTGTATAGACTGTAACATATCTTCGATTCAAAATTTCGACTCAAACAGGCTGGCTGGCTTCAGGTAGAACGAATCATATGCCGATGAAATTGCAACTCAACGCCACGCTACGCTATTTACCATCATAGAACAGGGTGTACATCGGTATTTAGCTCAAGTACACCACAACTCAATCGATTTTGTAAAGCCCTTCGTCAGTGTCTACTGTTTCATTATCACAAACCTTTATCAACCTCATTCAACAGCTGAATTCCTTATTATGCTACTTTCGAGATGCTTGACAATGTAAAGCTCAGTGACGCCTTGGAAGTGAAAATAGGAAGCAGTAAGGGAAGGTTGCCGACATCTATCACTGATTGTCTTACCGACTGTAGTGGACTGGATCACGCAACAAGCTGTGAGTAGCTGTGGGGAGGTGGACTTACACTGTTTGACCGATGCGATGAATAAACACCAGTAGAAGATTTGGCATTTGCCAACTGTGATGATTTATGTCTGATGTCTTGTCGCACAAACTGGAAGATCTACAGGTGAAAACAAACAAGTTGGAAGAATAGGCAGGGTAGTGAATACTGGACCTCCTTCAGGTGAATGAAGAGAAAACAGAGATGATGAAGATACACAATCAACAACAACAACTACAAGAAACACCAATCACCATGAAGGTCAGAAATCGAAAGGAAGTTGTCTCTGTCACCTACCTACCCAGGCAGCATCTTTTCAACTGTAGATGGTGGCACATATGAAGACGTCAAAGCTAAGATCGAGAAATCAATACAGGACTTCTTCAATCTGGAATGAATGTGAAAATCTACTGCATCGCACTGCACTGCATTCAGCGCAAAGCGTGAACAGTAACCAGATTTTCAACTCTAATATCAGTCAAGTCAGTTCTTCTGTCTGATGGTTCAGAAACTTGGCGCATTATGAAAAGGATTTTTATCAAACTACAGACATTCATCAACAGCTGCCACCTACGCCCACTCGACACTGACACTGAAGATCAGATGGCCAGAATAATAAGAATAAGCAACAAAGAACACTGACTTGCTGACAACGAACCAACCAGGAACCATCGCCCAACAAATATGCAGAAGAAGAAAGCGGTGATGGATTGGATTGGATATGCACTGAGGAGACCATTTGGGAACATCACGTGTCAGGCTAGGCTGTTGAGTTTAACCCCATGGGTGAAACGCCGGGTTGGATGCCAAAAGGTTTTATGGAGGATATCGTGTTTGGAGGAAATGAAAGCTTTTGAGGAGTCGTGGACTCAGGTTGAAAAGATTAGAGGGAAGAGAGTGGAATAGAGACGTGCTACTGAACCCCTATGTTCCACTAGGAACCCGAAGGACGAATTATATTAATAGTAAATCTTTCAAAATTCATATCAATTTATTTTGCTTTTATAAACTCAGTGACCGTCCTGAATAAATATGAACTTTTACTGCTTACTCTACAAATACTATAAATTGCTTATCATATGTTTTCAAAAATGTAATATACATAATATATATGAAGAATACTGTTCTGATAAACTTTCTATCAGTTAAATGAAGGAGTAAGTTACTTTTACCGGAGACTGGCATAGTATCTTTGGGTTCCTATACATACGTGTATCAACCTTCAAACTTTTCATTCATAAAGTATTAATGTGAGCTACAACTAAGAAGAAAGAATACAATTTTACAAAAAGCTAATGATGTTGGTTGACCCAGATAAACCTCATTAAAGCGTCTTACAAAAGGATGACATCTATAAAGTTCACTGTACGAGGAACAGTTGCACCCAGACCCAACAGAATTATCATCAACACCGAAAACACCTGCAACAACTATTGGTCAGGAGCCGAAGATTACTGTTAGTTAACACTTGGATTCTAACGTGTACATAATTACTAAAAAAAAATATTTTGACCAGATGAACACCGGGACAACACTGAAAAACATGTCTCCAAAATATTTTCAAAAGAATACTAAAACTTAGTTTAAAAAGTGATCAGTAGGACCTTCTGAAGTAGGTCATGTATTTGCAGTCATCAAAAAGGTTAGTATGCAGAAAAAAAAGTTATTTCATTTAAAGTTATAAATATATCATACACATAGCGAATAAGAAAATTCTGTTCGTTCCCAGCCTGTAAGAAAACTAGATGGCATTACTCATAGAAGGTTTATGCAGTTTATCAAACATGATCATAAGTGATTTACTACTGAAATCAATAATACTCTAGTCAGATGGAGTAGACATGTATCTCCACATGAAATAAACATTTAAAAGTATGCTACAAACACTAATGTCACCAACTATTTATCAGCACAAAAAGTAGATAGACTAGAAATTTTTTTCGTTTCTTGAATTCGCCGTCCTGAATGAAGCTTTATGAAGATTGTAATTGCTCAAAAATAATAATCAAGTTGATCATTCAAAACTTTACATGCACAAGGTTTGGTAACTCACAAATTTCGCCATAATATTCCTTTGAAGTATCTTATATTAAAGTTAAAATATAATTTTCACTTTCTACATTCATTGTGGAACAATGTATAATATTCGAAATTCATCATTATTACAAGACAATGGAAAATCAGTGTCTTAGTTTTTTAATGTAACATATTACTTAAAATTGATGAATAGTAAATTTTTCTTGCAGAAAATTGTTCATGTAGTTCAAATTCCATGTGTTGTAAGTTGTATAGAAAGTGATACTGATGTGTGATATGAAAACATCTAGTCAAAAATTATCAAACTCTATGTTTAGTATATGTGGATAGTGAATAAAAACATGTGGGTATACAGCCAATTAACTCCAAATATGCTGATTTCTTTTCAACTCGAGTTATCAAGCTTGAAATTATAGCTTATTCTGTTTGCCTTCAAATTTTAATAGGGATATAAAGTCTCATTATCATATGAAATAAATTGATAGGGTACAGAGAAATGGGATTATGTAATCTGTCATATTCACCTATCAGTGTACTTATAGCTGCAGACAAAGAAACTGTATTCCAATGGTATTCCTGTTTCTCTTGGCTACTTTACTGAATTCAGGCACTTTGAACTATCTTCTGCCAGCGCCATCAACAGAACTAAGTATTCTTTACAGGATTATCACCCACTGTATAGAAGCTGACTAGTAATGAATGCTTGCATTCATGTTGTATAAAAATATAGTTCCATTAGTTCATGTGTAAACTACCATTCATAACAATGTCTACCTGACTGACTTCCTCCAAGGTCAAAAGTGATTGAACCAGAAACAAAGACAAGATAACTCTTTTGAACATTTTCATTCGATTATTTATTTTTTTTACCAGCGGAATTGCGCAACCATTATATCACTTTCCCTAAATTCACCATTTAAAGGCTCACTGGTGTATCAAATTACATTTGAATTCAGTGATGACAAATATAAGGAAAAAATGTTTTCATTAGAAATCGTACCGATTTAGTTGTCTGATATGAAACGGAACGCAACGGTGCTTCGTCATTCCAACACTCCTTATCAGTGAAGTTCATTGTGTGTGCATGATGTTGAAATTTTAATCATCTTTTATTAAAAAAACGGAATGAAATGGAACGACTACATTTGTCAGATATTCCTAAAATCTGTAAGAAGTATCACACCTCTACATCCAGTTCCTCTGAATATTTCCTCATGTCCATAAATGAGGCTAAATTCGGTAAAACTGCTTAAACCAATAGTTATTTTCCTACTGAAAATGAACTTTTAACTAGGTTTTGGTAATTTTATCAGCACCACCTAAATAAACTGATTAGTAGCCTGTAACTTAATCAATCACACGTCATGAAAAAGAAATAATACCTAGTGGTTCAAATAATCAGGTTATTGATTTCTCAGACTATATCCAAATAACTTTCAGGAACTAAAAGATGCTACTTAAATAGAACTACATTTTTTATCTCATGTCTCCAATTCACACAAAGACAACTCCTTTATTTTCTTCAGCCGGTTTCAAGATCAACAAACATTGAACGGTTTAGCAGTAGATAATAGATAGTAGGTAGTAGATCTAAATTACTAGTGCACACATTCTGAGCTATTTTGATGACATCTTCGACGGTCATCATAAAAGGAATGCAGCATCTGAGAACTTTGACTAACCACTTAAGTGTTTAGAAAAACAAGTTAAGGTGCTTGTGCTACCCTATTCCACATGAAAGGCTCTTGCGAACAAATCATGACGTTGTTAAATTGTTGTTAAGTCCTTTCGAAACACCCAACTGTAAACAGGCAACTTCAGAGTGGTTCATTCTAAAGCTACTAAAATATAAACATTTGTTTATATTTTAGATAGACTGTTTGCCTGCAAAATGTGTGAGTAATTCCAAGTGTCTTGAACAAAACTGTCCTGCCCTTCAAGAGTCTGCTGTGACATAGATTCACGTTGGCCGTGGAAGAAGATAGAGGGATTTGTAAGGAATATGCATCTTATGTCCAATCAAAAATCTTAGTTCCAAACAGACGTCTTCCTTCTTTAGAAGGTAAAAGTTGAAGTGTCCTACTAGTAGTTGGTCAGCGTACTGCCTACTTCCCAGACTTTTATTGACGTCAAACATCACGCTGCCAGTAGTTTGAACTGGCTGGAACACCTCTGATAGTCAACAAGTGCAGCTACCGTTACCATTCTGTTCGACGGTTCTGACAACCAGACATCATCATGTGCAAGTAATTACCTTAGTATCTTTGTTTGCAAGATATAGGTATATCCCTACAATTTTTGTCCATTTGTACTGACAGGAAAAAGCGAATGTCATGCGTTTATAAACTGCACGCTCTCCAGAGTCATAGAAAGCTTTCCCTGTCATTTTCATTGCTTCTCATAGGTGCAACAGTCCTCACTGAAACATTATGGATGCATACCATTTTGAAATGATATTTCTCTGAACATTAGTAGCAATAAAATAAGTGATTTCAGCTTGTTAAAGAAGATGATTTTGTTGATTATTAAAGATCAAGATAAACCTAGCACTCAACAAAGGATATTTAATTTTCAAACAGATTCTTTATAAAGGCCTACAGTTCTGAAGGAGAATACACCACATGTCTCCCATTTCATGACGATGGATTTAGACATGTGACTGAATAAGAGTCAGAAAGTCAGCTAGCACGATTATAGTGCTTGAAGTGAAAGTCAGTATTCTTCAGAAACGGGTTTCGCTTTGTATAGTGCTACGAAAGATAATATAAATAATTCAGTCGTTAACCAACTTATCTTTATTAGACGCTTATGTGCAGTTATGTGTACGAAGCCAGCTTTCTTAACTCTTATCGGTGAAATTGCCGTGCAATTAATCTCGACATCATAATGCACTATCCTGATGAACCTTAAAGGGCATCCGTTATCTTTTTTTATACAAAAAGTCCCCTTTGAAGATGCCATAATAACCTGGAAAAATCAAATTCTAGATAAGTAAAAATGATTAAGTCACCTTGCGAAAAAATATCTGTGAGCCATGGTTCATGGTATCAGTATCCCCTAGGCTCTACTTTTGAGTAAGTATTAGAACAAATTGAGCAGTATTAAAGCCAATAACTGTATTTCTAATTGAGTTACTTGTCAAATGACTTGAGTAACTACAGAGTTTTTGTATCGAATTTTTAAGTAGGACACAAAAAATTAATTTTACAGGTTAAGGGGAAAATACCATCTGTATTCAAACATCAGTCTTCTTTAGAATTATAAATAAAAATATTTTTGCGGAAATTATCATAATAAAACATCGGAAAACTCTTTCAAAGAGCTATCTTTTTAGAACTGACATATTAAATCTTCATATCATCAACTATCATCCGTATAAATGAGCAACCATTGGTGGTCTACATTTCTATCTTCCCATTCTATGGTGATTTCATTGGCATTTGAGTTCATATTATTTATCAAATGAAATAATTCAATCTGGAATTATGGGATGACAGACCGAAAAAACACTATCCCAACTTGCACTCTTTTTTTCATTAGTGCTATGACTCCGCATGGTTAACCTTTAATTTGTAATGAGCAGTCATATCGAAGATCTATCAAGTATGTAAACGATGATATATATATATATATATATATATACATCTATATATTAGTGGTGCTTTGAAAGTAAATACTGATACTTACCCTGATTCACCTAAAAGTATATATGAAACAATACAGAATGATTTCACGTTTTTTATAAAATATTTATCTCTACATAGAAATATGGAGGTAAAATTAATTCTCATCGGAATTACAGGAAATATCATTCCAAAAGGTGAGAAATGTAAAGAATAAACTAATGGAAGATAAAGTTTATTGGCTTTTATCAGGTGACATTTTGTGTTGTCAAGGTCAAGGTAACAACATTTTTAACAGTTATTTATTGACGAACACCTTTCGAAAAATATGCAGTACGTAGAGAAGAGTTTGAAACGAACAACCATAATAAAAGTTAATGAACTTATGCAAATTTAGGTATGAAAAAGAATAGACAAATAGGTAGCAGAATATAGTTCTTTTGTTAGTATCACTTAAACTACCCGCGCAACCAAAACTAGGTAATAATTTTCATCACTCTTGTTAGTGTTACAATGCTATTCATTGACATTCTAAACATTATTCTATAAATAATACGTGACAGTTAATTGTAAATGGCATCAATACGTACCTTACAATGGATAGCATCTGATACTGCGTATGCATTTCTCAAAATAACTACAACATTCACATTAGTTAATGAGATTTACAGCATTTGTTACTACTTTATGTTTCGTCATTTGTTAAGTTCTAGTTAATGACATACATTCACCGAATTTACGGAGCTAAATAAATACAGTGCAAGATCACATCCAGGCAAAATCATGAGGCAACAATAAAAAGTCCTTATTCATATTAGATTTATGTTTCATATATGTATAACTTTTAATGTTATTTTAAACATTTATTCAACCTTCATTTCATTATTACGCATAAGTAAATATGATATTCCCAGTTGCTTTGAACCATTCCGTAATGAAGAAGGTATGAATTAATTACAAGTAAACTGCAGTAATGGGTTTCATAATTAAACTAATAATAATATTGTCAGTTTGCTGATGTGTGCAGAATCTATGCACAACACATGAAGAGATCAAATGATAGTTTCTCTGCTGTCGGAAACGATCAAACAGATAACCTTACATGTCACTACTTGACAGAAACATTATATAAGCGAATTGAGGAGTTTAACTTGTATAAATCACTTTGTATTCCATTGCAGTCTGATTGAATGACTATTAAATAAGTCAAAAATCCACTAATGTTCTATACAAACCTAACAAGATCCTGTTATCATAATTCAGAAGCCATTTTGATGGCTCATTGTGGTTGAATGATGAAGTCTATTCCCAGTCATGAAGTAATATATACTCATGAAGATGCTTTTTCGAATAAAAAAAGTATAACAATAACTTCAGCAGCCATCATTTGTTTCTTTTGATGTGTTATGTTTGATGAACACTAAATACAAGAAAAAAACGTTTTGTATTACAATCAATACTTACAGTTTTCTAGAAATAAACATATGAGCAGAATTAAGATGTAAAGAAATTTCAACTTCATTATCATCCTGATCTGGTGGATCAACGATTGAAGCTGAGAACTATTATTCCATCATGAAATAATGAGATTTAGATTTATTGTGTTATTAAACTTAATAACCTACGCACAATTTTGTATGCATACTAACAATTACATTGTTTTTAATTATACACATACAAATATAATAAACGGAGAGAAAAAGTATTCTTAAGGGTATATACTACTAATTGTATAAATTCAAGGTACTTAAAATACAATCTTAAGTTAGTCAATCAATTCTACATCCTTTCGTTTCAAGTGTGTACTATCAGCTGTTTCACTAAGATGATATGAACCTACAAACTATCGTCAACAGTTGAAAGCCTGTTTATAAGTGTTTTTATTTGATGATTATAACAGTAGTATCAACATCTTTAAGACTGTTAGTCTGAAAAATATTCACTGTATACATTCTAACCTATCGAAGTTAGGTTTTATTTAATCTTTGTTAATAGAAGCGATAAGAATAAACAGTTTTGTTATCCCAGCCAGCCAACTATAAGATACAGTAAGGTTCTCTACTAACGTTTAGTTTGTTACTTCAAGTTAATGGATGTCAGGCTACGTTCAACGTTTCTTTACCAATAACTGGTCCGATGATTAGTTGTTTATATTTAAACAGCTTAAAGATCAGTAAAATATCTAAAAAGGCGTAGATTTGAGATAATCAGGTGGGTTAAATGCGAAAAAGTAAGTAATATGTAAATTATTCACTAGCCCGTAAAAATGCTGAATGCCTAATACTAAGGACGTAACAGTCGCATCAGTTACCTATTTATAATCTAATCGTATACATTAACCAGTTTTTCATAGGATCACTTATTGCCTGAATATCTTACTGGCAAAACGTGTGGTTCCAGCACTAGGCGATAGAGATTTAAATAACCGAGGCAGAACTAATTGCTTTATAGTGCCAGATATCGGTAATTTTCAAGGTTCAACCTCCAAACAAGAATGTAATCCGGTGATCCAGTGAGCACGCTTTGTGTAAAGGTCAACTTCCGAGTTAGAGCGAAGCCTGTGTACTTCATAAATCATTGCAGCAATTTGGTGAAGGAGTTATGTTGGTATGCTTTTATCAGCTTATATGTACATGGGATAATGTGTGCTTTGGAAAGATCCATTAGTCTATGAAAGCAAGGACCACTGAACAAATTCTGAGGTATTGTAAAACGTTATACCACATCAAATGATCACATTGATACAGGAAACAAATCATTGAAACAGGTCAGAGGACTGATTTGCAAACATCTTTGAAATCTGTTTCAAAAACCTTTTGAGGCACCTTGGTTTGTTAAATTTCGAACCATTCAAACGTTTTGACCTACTTTAAGCATTCAAAATCAATTCGTTGTTACACTGCACTTCTCTTGTTATGTTACCTATGAAATTATAGGTGATTTATGCATATCTTTCCTTTTCGTCCCTGACTTAACGCTTGCACCAAAAGTTTGATCCCTAATTATATCAATTGTGTTTTAAGATATATTTACACGTAGTATGAGTCCTGGCCAAGACTTGGTCAGATAGTTTTTCAAACAGTGGTCAAATAGTGATAAGTTGATATAAGTTAATAAGTTATGCTTGCTTGTTTTTCATATACCTATGTGTGGTATATGCGTGTGTCACAAGACTGTTCGAAACGTATTGCCTAAATGCATCACAAGTTCCAGAAAAATTCCACACCTCGCTGTTGTCCACAAATCATACCTAAGGAGAACTCACTTATGAAAACAAGTGATTATTCAGAAAAATAAATTTTCTTTTTGACAGTATCACTTTCTAAAACTGTACGATTGCATTCGTATATTTCCCAAACACATAACAGTTTACTAGTGAACAATTTGACACAGTTGAATTACTAAGCTAATTCTAAACAAATTCATATCGAGTGGAAAGTAGTTACTTAATAATCTTTTAGACAGCCGAAATAATGAGGAACGCAAGAAGTTTGATACGGTGAAAATTGTTGGTAGACCTAAAATGCGAAGATTGAGTATCCACTTGATAGATACAAATAGGGTATAAAAAGAAAAAAGATCCTAACAAAGTTGTTAATAGTACACTTATTGACTATAATGACATCGAAAAATTGTAAAGTTTTCAAGACCATGGTAAGATGGAAGACCGAACACACATCTCTTCTGGATTAGGAGGTCAGGCTTGAATTGATGAATTGCCAATGTTTCTGCTAGGCGCAACTGTTAAAAGTGCCTTCTTTTTCAACTGTTCCATTTTACTCAGTTAAAAATTACTGACATATATACTGATATATACTGGTATACAAACTTCTGCAATCTAAACCCTGATGAAAATTTCACATTTATACTTCGGTCGGATGAACTATTTCTTCTAACTGTTCTGTGTAAATTTTGAAAGCAGGGACTCTAGTGGAGCTTTATGTTCACAGTTGACTATATGTTCGGGAATTAAACGGCCAGTTGGTTTACATTCTCCCCCATATGATAGTGCAGGACAGTACTTAGAGATACGTTTGGAAAATGTACGGATTATCACGTCTATGTAAGCAGCTCCATTAGGGAGAGTAATTGCGTAGACTCATCGAAATCCCCTCAGACGAAAACTGTTTAAAGCCCTACTCGTAAACAGTTGTTGATCTGCAGCTTCACAAGAAAAAAATGTCTTCCTTTGTGATTTGGGCAACCGATTCCTCAAGATCTCTGCTGCTTCAATCCCTTAAAGACTAAGGTACATTAATACAGTCTACTTTGGAGCTGTGAGTACTTGTTCCGTATAATGTTTTAATTTCAGATTTCACTCAATCAATATGATTAGTTTTCCGTTTTGCATGAGAATTTTTCAGTAGTTGATTCATTTCGTCATCGATTTCTATGGTGGATGCGAAGGCTGAACAAAAAAATGTCAAATTTTTCCATTGCTTGCAGTGATTGCAATATGTCAAAAATGTAACTTGAAAGGATTTTAAAAGTGTGTAAGGTTCTAGTGAAATTTAGTGAAATGATATTACACTGGTTATGTATGTGCAATGCTGGAAGTATGCTTATTACCGAACTGGTTAATTATGAGTTATGATATACAAAAGCAGATGACTTTTATGGTTCTTATCAAACGACTTCCATCATATCTTGTAAGTGTAGTAGTTTCGGGTATATAAACTTTTGCAATCTAAACCCTGATGAAAATTCCACATTGATACTTCGGTCGGATGAATTAATGTCTTCTAACTGTTCTGCATAAATTTTGAAAGCAGAATCTTTCTAATTCATTATGAGTATTTGAAGATATGGTCAGACTTAGCAGGTTGATATAATTGTTTTCATGGAAGATTTCAGAAACTTCAGAATAAGAAGATGGTCATGTCTTGTAGAATGTACTTTAAGTTTTCTTGAACAAGTAATATTCCTTGAAATCTGTTTTCGGGTTTGTAAAACACCTCGTTTATCGTGTTGTCAATATATACGTGATGATTTGTTCAATATAAAATTTGAAGAAACACTGGGAAAATGTTATGCATAGATCTGGATTTTCAACACTACTTCAGTCAAGTCAGTGCTTCTATGTGGTGATTAAGAGGCTTGGCGCGTTACGCAAAGCATTTCTAACAAACTGTGGACATACATCATCAACAGCTGCTACTTATTCTTCATACTGAGATTCAGATGACCAAAAAGAATAAGGAACAAAGAAATCTGGAAACAGGCAACCAAGAAGCCATTTCCCAACAGATGTACTACTATCTCAGGCAGTCAAACCGATAATCAAGTTCATCTTGATTTGAATTGGGATGCGAAGTTTTGACTGGTTGACTGGTGTGAATACCATGAAGGGACAGTAACGCATTACAAAGTCATACAGAAGTTGTGACAAATTCTTGGTGATTGAAGTAAAATAAAGATCTTGTCAGGTTCTTAATCTTACGGTTCAGTTGTCAGAGTGTCTGACCGGCAAACCTGAGCCTGCTGGTTGGAATCCTGGTGTGACCCAGGTTTTCATTTCGCCCTCAGTCATCACCCATTATCGATTAGTCAAGTAGTAAATTCGTTGAAGTTTCCTTATTCAACGATAGGTCACAAATAATTGATGTGTTTCTTCTTTAAAAGCTGGATTTCTCAAATTTATATTAGCTACATGGTAAATTAAATATGTATATGTGATCGTAAGAAAGACTTTAAAGTTCTCTCCTTTTTAAGCTTACATTTGGTAGTAAGATAGTATAGCACATGGCATAGTAAAACATTACGCTGGGTTATTTCCAAGTGTTTAATCGTGTAGAAATTAGCATGATGTCAAGAAAGTAAACTAAGTTTTACACAAACATGCTGTAATTTCGTAAAGCATCAGCTCTTTAACGCTGGGGCAGCTTTGCGTACAGTGAAGGGGAGTGACATAACAGACAAATCTTTGCTCGCAAGAAACGGCATTCATACTTATCGGTCGTAAAGCAATAATTTGTACCTAGGAGGAATCAATTGCTGTGAAGATATTTTTTTCTTCTTCGATGAACGTATTAAGAAAACTGCCTAAAGTGGTAACATTTTTCGTGGAATGTGTTAGAAGGCTCCAAACTGTTTTGGGGAATAATCTTCAGACAGGTAAAGTGAGATGGGATAGGTGACATCCATCTGAAAGCTGATATCAGCTGATATCATTGAAAATAGTTAGCATTCGCGATGGACACAGTAAAATATCTGTTTTAGAGAAAAGCTCGAATGGAGACACAAAAAAATGAGGATTTTCAAGCCGAGAGCTCTTTATTAGTTATAAAAAATTCCACCCAGATAAATGACACCTTTAAATGCTGAAATCATGTCATGTTGTTGCTCTTATCGGTGACCAGTGTACATCAGCTTAAAAATCTAGTTGACGCATTGATGATTATGTCTGAAATGCTCATGATCATCACATGTCTTCCATTCCAGAAATCAATGCACATATTAGGTAAGCACGGGACCTGAGATCTTAAGAAATAAGGTAATCAAAGGTGAAACGTTTAAGTAATTAAGGTATGAGGGTGTACAAAACTTTGCATTTAAGACGAACACCCACGCAGTAATTGTTTAGAAACTCATGGAAGTACTGAAAATTCATCAATAAAACATAATATCATCTGCACACATTAAACTTATCGACAAAATCTTACTACCAATTCTTCGG